TTGAAAAGAACCATAAAAACGATAATAAACATCCACAAATCAAGTCAAATTAAAGTCAAAATAATTAATCAAAAATTAAAAATATCATAATAAAGATTCATCTCATCCTAGTGATGTATAAAACTAGCTTAGCATATTAGAATTGCAATAAATCATGTTAAATGTATAAAATATCACTCGAAATTGTGAATTAATGAATATTCGGAGGAAGATGAATCTTGATGTTCTAGAATTTCTTCAAAGTAATCTTGTTAAACCTTCAATAATTTTTTCGCTTCTCAGCCCATATATCCCAAATTTAATCTCCAATTAATGCGTTCTTGAACTTCACCTTTAAAATCTTCTCACGATAATTTTGCCCCTCTTTTATGGTGAACATTGATTGAATATTGTAGTATAAGATGTATATGAGAGGTATCTAATATGTATTTTGCTGTTAAGTATTTGTAGGAGTCGAAAATTGGTTGAAAATCAGGTCTAAATTGGTTTCCAAAAGAGTTTCAATCGAATAAGTAAAGTTGCCTTCGAACGCATGTTTTTGTCTCTGCACAGTATCAGTATTTTGGTCATAAATTTCTCTTTCGATATACGATTGAGGTAATGGAAAGATAACTCAAATGGATACAACTTTTCTCGAAATATAATTTTTCTAATTCTGATATTTACTATATCAAAAATGGGTCTCAATATTCAGCTAAAAATGTGGAATATAACTTGTGCGATTGAAAATTGATTTTGATAGAATTTTGATCTTATTCCACTCCTTTTTTTTTTTTTTACTTATAATTGCATCCAATTGTCTCTTAGCATTCTTCAAAGTATCGTGGTGCCATCAACTTTGAATATTTGCAATTCAGTCCTCAAACTTTGGACTTCATCATTTTTCACCGATTTTCGCTTCTTTTTTCAATTCCTTATTCAACTATTGAATTTTACCTATATAACATAAAATGAAATAACTTAGGATATATTTTGTCAAAAGAATTATCAAATATCATTATTTTAGACATCGAATAAGTGTATACTTATCACATACCCTCTTGCACCTACATCTGTTAGAAGAGTTGTTTTAGTGTAGAGTTCTATTCCGTAATATTTCTCTATATGGATTTCTTTCATCTTCACTAGCACTAATGATGGATGGAGGCCTCTTTTATTCAGAGACGAGGTCATTTGAGTGGATTTTTCTCTTCAAAGTCTATCATTTTTCAAGGAAAACTTAAAACGCCAAAATGATTATTAACACTTAGAACATTTTTCCTTCGAAACTTCCATTTGTCCTTTAATCAAGGACAAAACATTTTTCAAGGGAGAAGTTGACACTTTTTCGGTAAGCCTTTTCTCATGGATTTTGATGGTGTGATTTTTCACAAACGATGCCAATGTTTTTATCTCGATTTTTGTATGAGTGATGTGATCAAAGATCCTAGCTCCACTCGTGTCCACGCGTATGGCTCATGCACACTTGGAAAAACTGTTAGAAGTCCATGACGTTATCTAGAGGTGGAGGAGACAACCGCAAGCACTTCGACAATCAAGTCGTCAACTTGTATAGATACATTTAAGTGTGGGATGGATTGAAGATATGAACCGCATTAGTGTATGGACACTAGGGTAATAGAGAACATGTGAAATCAACATTATTATCAAGTGTGTAAAATTGTATTACTTTCAAATGACACTAAATGTAAGCTTTTATAGTAAAATAGCTAGGTACCGTTGGATGGAGAGACACGTAGCTTCATCTAACAGCTGAGTAGGGCTAGACATGGTCCGATTCAGTTTGATTCTATAGACAATTGAACTAAACTAAACTTTCGAGTATTTAGTAAGTAGAACTGTCAGGTCTAAATTTAATTATGAAATCGAACCGCTTTCATTTCGTTCGATTCGGTTCGATTCGATTCGGTTTCATACCATAATTAAACTTTTAACATTTACAACAATACTACATTAATCCAACTAATAACATTTTCAATGGTTTCAAAGAGAATCAAATTGAACCAAGAATTACTCGATATTGTGTAAATGGTATCTCGTCCAAGTTTAATTATGAAGTGAACCAGAACTGAACCATCGATACCATAATTAAAATTTTCAATGTTTTCATAATTTCAACAACTATTCAATTCTCCTAAATTTGAAACGGAACAACATTGATAAAAAAAAAAATGATAAGTTTCATATTACAAAATAACAAATATAGTCCAAATTATAAAAAAACAAAACAAAAAAAAACAAAAACAAAAAACAAAACAAAACAAAACAATCTGTCTAAATTCATTCACCAATGTATTCGAAGTTTGAAATACAAATTAAATAGTTAGACAAAAATAGAGAATAGACAGATTTTTTTTTATAGAAAAAATAGAAATATTTTGGTAGATTCAATATCAAAAAATAAAAGAAATTGAAAAATTCATTTCTTCGTATTTGCATCTAAAACTAGGAACCGAACCGACTTAATCTAAGAAAGATTGTTTCAATTCAAATCCAATTCAAGAGTTTTGTTCCCCCTTAGCCCCCGTTTGACACCCATTTTTTATCTCATTCTCATTCTCATTTTTCTACAGTACTCATTTCTAACCACACATTCTCCAAATAAAATAATATTACACATAAACTCAAAATTCTTCTTACTTTTTAACCATACATTCTTTATATCAATCACTATTCAAAAACTCATTTTTCAAAAGAATGGGTGCCAAACACCCACTTACTCTCTCCACCAACATGCAAATCAACAGTTTTGATTTATGCCCACGGTGGGCATGGATTATACAACATTAAATAGTTAGACAAAATAGAGAATAGACAGATCTTTTTTTATATAGAAAAAATAGAAATATTTTGGTAGATTCAATATCAAAAAATAAAAGAAATTGAAAAATTCGTTTCTTCTTATTTGCATCTAAAACCAGGAACCGAACCGACTTAATTTAAGAAAGATTGTATCAATTCGAATCTAATTCAAGAGTTTTGTTCACCCTTACTCTCTCCACTAGTGCAAATCAACCGTCTTGATTTATGCCCACGGTGGGCATGGATTATAATGTCCATCGTGGGCGTGGCAACATTCAGTATTACCACGTGTATCTAGTGTTACCACGCCTACGATGGACTAATACCCATGCTCACCGTAAACATTAGATCATTTATGTGCAAATCAATAGGGTTGGACGAAACTCTCGAACCGAATCGAACTGAACCTGAACCGAATCGAATCGAACTTGATTCTTCTTAAGTTATTTACCCGAATGGGTATCAAAATCGAGAACGGTGGGTTTGGTTCGACTCTTGGTTCTAGACGAATAATCGAATAAGAACCGAATTTTCTTAATTTTTATTTTATTTTTTTATATTAAATAAGCCAAAATATTCTAATTTTTTTTCTAAATAAAATTTTCAACTAATTAATTGAGCTCAAAATATCATTTTTCTATTTTCAGCCTCAACCCAACTTTGTAATTCAAAATTCAAATAATCAAATTTGAGTGACCTACATTTTTCTCAATCATTCTACCTAACTACGTTATTTTGTAAAAGTTGAAATTGAACACGTCATTAGTTGGATTAATATATCGTTGTAAATGTTTAAAAAATTAATTATAGTATAGAACCGAACTGAACAAACCCAATTGAACTCGACAACTCCACTTACTAAATACTCAAAATTTTGGTTTGATTTGCCTTTTTTACAACCAAACCGAACCAAGACATGTTCAACCCTACAAATCAACATGTAAAATTTCAAGATGCAAGCACGCAAGGAACGTCGTGACTTAACAAATAAAATGATCGCTTATAATCTAAATCTATAATTCAGGCAAGTACCACAACTCGTACAAAATTTAGGTCCACTTCCACCACCACCACCACATCCTAAATGTATCAACAGACCTGCAGTAAGGAATGATGTATTGGTACTACCAATAGCAAATTTTGCATAGAGCAATGTTTGGTGTATAATGATTTTGACAACATCACGTGACATATTATCATTGGACAGTTTAAAAAACAATTCATCTTTTCAACCAACATTTTTTTTCCACAAATAACATTGTCAACAATGTTGTACAAAAACATTGTACAAATAGATTAATTCCTTTGCCTATGGCCCCATTTTTTCAAAGAACTTAATTTTTTCAAAACTCATTTTCAACCACACATTCTCCTATAAAATAATATTACACGTAAATCAAAAAATTTTCCTTAATTTTTAATCACACGATCTCCAAAAAATCATTATTCCAAAACTTTTCCCCCAAATTTCCTTTAAAATGGAGCTAAAACAAGTACTTCATATTTTGAAATGATGCTCAAAACTCAAATAAGATCTTCAAGCTTGATGAAACATAGCTGATGCATCTTCACATGTCAGCAATTGATTTGACACTCAGCACGTGCATATTCCACTTTCCACATACATCACCACACCGAGGGCTTTCCTTGGTTCGTTTCATTCAAAATTCAAAATAATTAATATTTAAGCAGATGTCCACAGATTCCAGCTTATGTCATGCCACAGGGAAGGAAACAGGCCATGGGTCCTCGCAATTAGGGTGATGCCAGTCGACTTATTGAGACATTTCCCCCCAATGAAAAACAGTAAAAATATCCTCTTACACAGTCAAGCTTGCATCCGAAACAATTGAACTTTTGTCATAGTGATCTTAGGCTCCGTTTGGTCCACATTATTTTTTTTTTCATTCTCATTGTTCTACTCATTTTCAATCACACATTCTTCAATAAAATAATATTTTTCATTACATTAATAATTTTTCCTTCTTTTTCAACCACATATTCCCCGTCACATCAACAGTAAAAATGCATTCTTACCTTCAAAATGTGAACCTAATGGGGCTTAATATAATAAAATAGCAAGATAGCTCATAGAAGTAACAAGTTCGTAATTAATGGCACATTCTAAAATATGTCCACCGACGAATTCATCTTATACTCATACTCCCCTCAATCTGAGAGTTAAGTAATGAAAGGAACTAAACATTGGAACCACTGAGTGCCATAACCTTACACTGTTCATTCATGGCCAAAAGTTGAGCCTCTTTCTTGTCAAGAAGAACATTCAGCCTCACATTCTCTTCCATAAGTTTCTGGACCTCAGCTTCCTTTTGCATTTTTTCACTTTCTAATTGTGACGTCTTGGCAACAAGACTGGGTCAAATAAGAAAAAACTACCCACATTAAATTTTGCCAGAGAAGAAAGCCGACTAACTCATACAATTGACAGTAATTTCAACAAGGATTAACAACAATATGAACATATAATCATAACATGCTGACAACTGCAACCACTGGGTTTATTATAAACGAAGAGAAATGTGAATACCCATTAAGATATTATTATTTTCAACCTTTAAATCGTGTTATTTAATAGACGGACACTGTTTAAATGCTTAATCATGTCAAGATCTTTGTTATCCAACAAGAAAGTATTCCCAAAAAATGTATAATCACTTCAGATATAATAGATAGGCATGTTGCATTGTGACGCCAGTAGCGGGTTATACTAACTGCCCATTTGAGCACACATGAAGTATATATGCATCGAACTATACTGATAGAATCCCAGTCAAGTATAACTATTCTAGAAGGATCAAGACGAAGGGAGAAAGAGAGGATAGCAACAAAACCTGTCAGTAGGTAGCCTGAGGTGGACAAAAATAGTTACAATAGGCTTACAAATAGATTAAGTATGTGTAGTGAGGGGTATGAAAAATAGTGAGTGAAGTCATTGTGGAGAGTTACAGCCCTCTCGAACGGCTGAATTTTATTTTCCTTTTTGTAACTCCATCTTCAATCATTACAAATCATAATTTCAGTTCCCATATTGTGTTACTGGTAGAATTTATCAAACTTCTGAGGTAGGTTCTATCAAAGTGGTATTAGAGCATCCAAATTCAACAAGACAACCATGACTAGCTGATCGAGTTGGAGAGTTAGAACAAAAGGTCGAAAGAAATCACAATGAACTTCAAACAGGGCTCGAAGTATTGCGTTCGGAATTTAAATTGATGCATTCATGGATGATGGACAAGTTCGATCTACTGATGCGCGCCTCGGAAAATCAAGAAAATGATCGTAAAGAGAAGGGTCCAGCGATGGAGGATTCACCCATGACACAAGCTGATTCCAGGCTGACACAGAGGACAGGCGGTAGTCAATACAGTGGAGGAGGGTCAGGCGGAGATTGGAGGATAGAGCCTCGGATACAGAGACTGGAGATGCCCGTGTTTAAGGGGTCCAATCCAGATGGGTGGGTTTTCGCGTGGAACGTTATTTCAGCATTAACAAAATGACAGAGAAGGGAAAGGTGGAGGCAGCTGCTGTATGCTTCGACGGTGAGGAGGTTTTGACCTTCACAAGAAGGGTCTCTTTATGCCCAATTTTTATCCCTCTGGCAGAACTCCACCGTCAGATAATATCGCCAGCGATTTGAGAGCTTGGCTTCCCCATTAACTGAGGTATCAGAGGAGATTTTGGAGTGCAATTTCCTTAATGGACTAAAGACAAAAATCAAGGCTGAGGTCCATTTACTTAGGCCATTGGGCCCAGAGCAGATTATGGAGGTGGCCCAAATAGTAGGAGATAGGAATCTGGTAAGCAAAATAGACGAATGGAATTCCAGCCCAATTAAACCTAAAAGTATTCCATACCATGACCCATACCCTCCCCAATTCCCCAGCCCAGTTAACAAATAAACAATACCCCTAAATCTTCTCCCAACTCGTCCAAACCACTTTATCAAATATCCTACCCCCTACAAACGACTAACAAATGTAAAGGTACAGGCAAACATCTGGTTTTATCCACTACAAAAAAATCTGAGGTTAAAGAAATCTTTATGCGCTTTAAAACCATTGTGGAAAATCGTTTCAACAAAAAAATTTTCACATTGTACTCAGATAATGGGGGTGAATACATGGCCCTTAAAGACTTTCTAGCAACAACTGGCATTTCTCATCTCACAACTCCTCCACACACCTGAACATAATGGCTATTCCGAACGACGACATCGTCACATAGTTGAGACTGGCCTCACATTACTTTCACATGCTTCTCTTCCATTAATTTTTTGGTCCCATGCTTTTGCCACAGTCGTCTATTTAATCAATAGAATGCCCACCAACACCCTTGGCCTTTCCTCACCGTATGAATCAATTTTTGGTACTGCTCCTAACTATTCCAAACTCAAGATTTTCGGATGTTCATGTTATCCATGGCTTAGACCATATTCCTCCCATAAACTTGATGCTCGCTCCAAACCTTGCATTTTTCTCGGGTATTCGTTGTCTCAAAGTGCTTACTTGTGTCTTGAACCATCTTCCACAAAAATATTCATTTCTCGTCATGTCCAGTTTGTCGAATCTGTGTTTCCTTACACATCAGTACATGATCAATTACCACGTCCTGACTCCACTACCTTTGATACCTGGGTTCCTCCAATAATTACTGTTAGAGTTCCTAGTCCTCCCCAGTCTGTACACACTACCTCATCTGCTGGAAGCCCACAAGAAATTCCAACGTGTGCTGATCCTTCATCACCTCCTACCACAGACACTTTACGGCCACCCCCTCTACATGTGACTACAACATTGGAACCTCTTCAACATTCAATACCACCAACCCAAGTCAACAGCCAGCAACCAACCCAACAACCAAACAACCTACCACACACACACCCAGCTCCCCCAACCACTAACTCCCATCGCATGACTACCCGATCTAAAAACAACATACATAAACCACTAAGAAAGCTCAACCTTCATACACAATTTAACCCTATCTCCGCCACTGAACCCACAATTGTAACCCAAGCTCTCAAAGATCCCAACTGGTGTCGGGCCATGTTCGAAGAGTATGATGCTTTAGTCCAAAATGGGACATGGGAGCTTGTTGCACCTATCTCTGCCTCTAATATTGTTGGTTGGAAATGGATTTTTCGTATTAAACGACATTCTGATGGTTCTATTGACAGGTATAAAGCTCGTCTTGTAGCAAAAGGTTTCCATCAACGACCTGGTGTTGATTACCCTGAAACATTTATTCAGGTTATTAAACCTGCTACTGTGCGGCTGGTTTTTAGCATTGCTGTTAGTCGTGGTTGGCCTCTTCGCCAGTTAGATGTCAACAATGCCTTTTTACAAAGACATCTATCGGAAGATGTTTATATGGCCCAACCTCCGGGCTTCATTGACTCCGATCGTCCAACATATGTTTGCAAGCTTAGTAAAGCTATATATGGCCTTAAACAAGCACCGAGGGCTTGGTACCATGAGCTGCGCCAATTTCTTCTTGTTGCTGGTTTTAGAAATTCTCATGCTGATACTTCCTTGTTTGTCCTCAACAATGGTACTAATATTCTCTACCTCCTAGTCTATGTTGATGATATCATTCTTACAGGTGATTGCCCTGCCCTTGTTAATCAGTTTATTGATCGTTTTGCTCAACGATTTTCTCTTAAAGATCTCGGGACTCTCTCCTATTTTCTTGGTGTTGACGTAGTTCCCCACCGTCATGGAATTTTCCTTTCACAGCGTCGTTATATTATGGATCTCCTTGCTCGGACTAATATGTCAGGTGCTAAACCTGTTTCCACACCATTACCTACTAGTCCTCCGATCAGTTGACACTCCGGCACACCTCTTCCAGATCCTACTGAATACCGCACTACTGTTGGCAGTATGCAATACTTGTCTCTGACCCGTCCAAACATCTCTTATGCGGTTAAATTATCTCAATATATGCATCAACCATCAACTGAGCACTGGGCTCTTGTCAAGCGTATCTTGCGCTATTTATGTGGTACCTTAGATGAAGGTGCTATTTTTTATCGTGATTCTCCACTCTCTCTTCACGCCTTCTCCGATGCAGATTGGGGTGGAAATCCAGATGACTTTTCCTCAACTAGTGCCTACATTGTTTATCTTGGTCGTAATCTTATCTCTTGGAGTTCAACGAAACAAAAAACTGTTGCTCATTCTTCTACGGAAGTTGAATATCATTCTGTTGCATCTACTACTGCTAAACTTAAGTGGCTTTGTTATCTCTTGACTGATCTGGGTATTGATTTGCCTCATGCTCCTGTAATCTATTGTGATAATATTGGAGCCACTCAGTTGTGTTCTAATCCTGTGTTCCACTCAAAAAGAAACATGTTGCAATAGACTTTCATTTTATTCGGGATCAAGTTCGGACAGGTTCTCTTCGTGTAGCTCATGTTTCCTCTAATGATCAACTTGCCGATGCTCTTACAAAACCGTTGCCTTGTTCCAAATTTCAATCTCTCAAAGTCAAGATTGGCCTCTCATCCCGTGGCCTATCTTGAGGGGGCATATTAAATGACAGCTGTTCTCCTTGACTTCTGTTGTTATCCTCTAGTTTGTTTGTTTGTTATTTTTGAATATTCAAATGTAAATATCTTTGAGCTATCTCTGAGCTATAGCCTTATATTTAGGATCCTTTGTTACAACTTGTATTATATAATTCTTTCAATAGTAATGAAAACTGAGAGCTTCTGCCCATCGTTGTTTATTTTAGTGTCACCATTTAACTCTAAGAAGGTGGACACATGCCTCATGTTGCATAACATTTCAACAAAATTTTGATCAGTTTCTGCACTAGAGACTACATGTACAACGAAATTGAAACATTCACGAGAGACTACTTGTACAACGAAATTGAAACATTAAGTACTAACTCATTTTTAAAAATTGTGGACCAATTTGCTATTGGAACAATATGCTGGATACCAATACTACAATTCTAAGTAAACGAAGCGTCCTTTTTTTCCTTTTTGTTCATCTTTCATCATATTTCTCTACTAAAGCAAAAGTCATAGTTTTCAAAAGCGCCTGACGCTTTATATAACACCCCGAATCCCATTACCATTAGTTCTTTTGAATTTATGCCTTGCAATAAAAATTTGAAAGATCAGGGACCAAAATGAAAAGATTTTAGTTTTTGGAGGACTAAACTGTGAAATTCAATAATTTAGTTATGAACAGCCGGTGAGCAGGTTGGCCTGCTAAAGTGACTTCTAGAAGAAGTCAATTTAGAAGATGGTCAAATGTCATTTAGGAATGAAAGAAAAGAAAATTTGGATGATTGGTAAAATGTATTGTCAATGACGAAATATATGATGAAAATTAATATATTTCGTTTCATGGACAAGTAAATATTTTGATGTAGCACAATCCTATTTCAAATAGGATAAAATATCTCTTTTTCTTCTCCTTTCTTATTTAGAATTGGATTTCTTTTTCTTTCTTGACTAGAATAGGATTTCTTCTTTCTTTTAGATTAAGATTTTAGTTTTCTTTCCTCCTTTTAGGATTTTAGTTTAGTTTCCTTACATCAGTAAAATTAAAGAATTATTTTGCCTATATAAATAAAGACTTTGTACAATTATTTCAATAAACAATTCAATACTATAAATATTCTCTACAAATTTCAAGTTTTTCGACTTTATTATTGTTTCAAGAATTCCAATTTTGCTTCAGCACGAAAATTGGTATCAAAGCAAGATTTGCCCTTAATATGGTGGTAGACAATTGCGCATTCTCATGCTGATGATCGGAAAATTGCAAAATTACCGATTTTGGTCCGGACTCTTGAAAGGATGGATATGCTTCAAGATGCAACTGAAAATAATTTGCAAACTTTAATTGTTATGAATGTTAGTTGTTTCAACAAGCCCATAACGTTGCAACAAGTGGCTAAAGAATTTCCTCGAGTCCCAACTAAGTTTAAGTAATCATAAGATATCAAGTATTCTACGAAGGTCTATTGGAGATTTATAAGGAGTTCGATTTTAAGCATGGCAAAATTTTTAAAACACGATGGACTATCAACAACAAAGAATGCAACGTAATAATAAATCACAAGAGTAGTGAGAACTTGGTATACAAAGCATTGGTGGAAGTTTTCAATTTGAAAACTAAAAGTAAAAAGTCTTGCCATCAAGTTCCACAAGTTAATAGGGAACAAAAAACTCAAAATATAGAGGTGTGTGTAAAATTTCACTTTCTATTGAAAAGTACAGCAAAGATGAGATTGTGTATAACATGGTAGAGATGGACGATTCTTACGTACTTTTGAAATAACCATAGTACTATGATATAGATGCCTACATAAGTCAACATAATAGGTATGTGATTAGATGGTATGATAAGATCGTTTTGGTACACGTGATAAGCAACTTGCGAACTAAGCAGCATGGATACTTATAAACTCATTACATACCCCTATTCAATACTTATCCAAGTTTGAATATGCTTCGATATGTGTAGAGTACATGTTTTTTAATTATTTTATATTCTAAGAATTTTTGATATGTATCGAATACGTATTTTATATTTATTAATTATTTCTAATACGTCTTGAATACGTTTGGATATATGAACAAAAATTTATTGGTTTTAAACTCTTTGAAAACTCATTATTAACAAAGTTATTTTACTTTGCCCTTGTTTGATCCTAATTATTTTCAAAATACATTTTTCTCTCCACTATATATTTAATAAATTGGTCTTCATTTATAGCAATCTTCGTCTTTTATCAAGAAAATCAAATTTATGTTCAAAACGAGAATTTAAAATGTGAGACATTGTAGGAGATTCATTGATACTCTTGAAAGTGTTGTGCTGCTTGAGGCTGCTAATCTATCATTAGATTAGCCAAAGCTAGAGAATGTTATTTTTAATGATAATGAAGAAGTTGATGGTGATTTTGAATGAAATAAAATTGGAACAATTAAGTATTAAGATAAAATGCTTTATTATTTTATTTTACTTTTATTATCATGCTTATGTTTTATATCTATATACACACACATATTCACGTATACTAATTCTTTTCAAAAAGTTTTATCGACGTACATGTATCGTATTCAAATTACGAATCCGAATACGTGCTTCTTAGCTCGCAAATACTAGTGCTAAGAAAGAGAAAAGATTTACAGAATAGATGATGTTAAAAAAGATGTCCGCTCAAAATAATAAGGATGTTGCTGACCATGATACTTCGCCGGCGGTAGAAAAGCATGTGCAAGTTGAAAACCCGAGACCTATTGATCACATAATCACAGAATTTTAGTTAATTTTGTGGTTGCTAATTGATTAGCCAATTTAGTTAATACTTAGCTTGTTTTATTAATTTAGTGCTCTGAGAATTCTTGTTTAATGGCATGTTTTCTAATAGTTGAAGTTTTGTACAGTTTGTAAAGCTTAGTGTTTAATCTGTATGTGATAAGCATGTTTATAGGAAATTCATGGGACAAGTGATGGGTAAGTGGTGTCCTTATTATTGTTATTTTTGTTTTAATAGAATTGCATTTCAAAATACTTAATTGTGTAATTCCACTAGTTTCCCAAGAGTATAGTTGGAGAATTGGAGGAACGATGAATCATTATAAAGTGCATATCTATGACGCTTAGACTCGGGTACGGGTACGTATCTAAGTGTCGGATATTTTATTTTCTAAAATATACAATACGGGGACATGGCCAAAAAAGTCTAAATTTCAAACACGGGTCGTGGATACATTTTTTAAACTTTAATTTTTTTTTACTAACCAAAGATGTCATTTTAAATAGACCAAAATCAATTGTTCACAAATAAATAAGTATTGAATAAATGGTTAAGACGAATAAAATCGGATTTTAAGGTTTAGTTTTTAATTATTGGAAGTTAATTACTAAATGTTATATAAAATAGAAAATGAAGGACTTGATTGCAATTTGAACTTAGTGGAATACTAAGTAGCACTATATGGAACTCATTTTATAAAAAGAAAACCCTAAACAATATATACAGAGAGTGAAAGAAGGGAAAAATTGAAAAGGGCAAGAAAAAAAAAGGGAAAACCTAGCGCCACCGCCTTCCTTCACCCTCTCGGCGGCGGCACTAAATTTACAAAGAGTGGAAACGGGAAAGAAGAAAAAGAAAGAAACAGAAACAACGAAATGTCTGGTTGAAATTTGGAGGATCCGACGCATATCTTATACTCATACCTCTGTCGTGTCGACAAGGGTACTTCATCCATTTTGAAGAATCTGAGCATCAGAGGTGCATATTTATTCAATATTTTAAAGTTGCACTCCTAAGTTATAGACCTTTCTTGATTATAGTAGCTGCTTACAATTTTGCTCTCGCTATTAATTTGATAATTCGTTGTTTGCTGCTTTATTAGTTTTTTAATTTTCTTTTCCAAGTTATTGCAAATATTACAAGCATATTGTTATCTTTAGTATTGTTGAATTATCTTAACAGTTTTTGTTATAACTTATGCCTAGCACAGAAGTAATACATCTGCCCGATTGAGCCATTTTAATCATTGGAGAAACTACTTGCACTGCCAACTAAAGAAAAATAAGTTACAAACAAAAAAATGTATAACTAGAAATGAAACAACTACTCAGTAAAAGAAATAGAAAAAAATAAAGCAAACTAATTGGACATCACCAACAATAAAATAGAGGACATTGATAGTGAAAAATACAATTGGCATTCCACAATCATAAAAGAAAAGATTAAGTACACTGACCGTTCAAATAGCCTCTCAATAGTCTGAAATTGCTTTTCTGATGAAAGAAGTGTTTCCCTTACACTAATGAGACTACTGACATAGGATTTCAGAGAATCAAAGTCCTGCTTAACACGATAAAGCTCCTGCTCATTTTCAGCAGCTCTTTGCCTTTGTCTAGAAGTTTCTTCAACCAAATCTTCAACCCTCTGCCGCATTTCATTTAAAATACAATTTGTATCCAGTGCAAATTGTTCCATCTCCTCTAGTTTCAAAGACATGCTTTCAATTTGGAGGACCTTTCTTTTAATTTCTTCCTGCCCTACAGTTACTTTCTCCTTCTCAATAGCAGTTTCAGATTCTGCCACTATAACCCTCTTGAAAAGGCTTTCCATTACATCTGTAACCATTTGAACATTTTTAAGTAATTCAGTGGTATAAGCTCCATCTTGTTCATCATAAGAACCATGAAGACTACCAAGTGCAATCCATGTTTCCTTGTCTGGACTGTCAAGGGAAGACAGATCTACATTTCTTGACCAGCCGGACAATGGTACACCATTTTTATCAACAAGGCCAATGCTGCCCAATTGTTTCATACCACACGAAGTATGAGCCAAATGAGGAATAGCCATGACTCTGGCTTTCGATTTCAAGTATGTCAATAAGGTTGCAGCAGTTTTAACTCTACGCCAGAGGACTTCTAATTCTTTCTTTGCATCTTCTTCTGACCCTTGTATACAACCCTCTACCTCCGTAAGTTTCTCTTGCAAGGCAACCACTTGGGATTGGCTTCTCTCCATCTCCTGCTTCCAACCAATGTGTGTTTGACTTAAATGAGACTTCAAAGCTGACAGATTAGCATCTTCCTCTGCTGCCATTACCTTCCAAATGATACATTTAAATTTAGGAGCTTCATTGATCAATAAATCAGATATCTATCACATGACTAGGTAACGGTAATGCAAGCATTTAAATAACATATTTCCTTCAAAATCTTTATCTATTACTTCATATTCACAGATCATGACGAATTGGTGGGTTCTCAACTTACAAAATGAAAAAGATTCAAGTAAAAATTTATTCATTAGTCCCATAATAACAAAACTGCACAAATATTTCGATAAAATTATTGCCTGCCAGTTCGTAGCTTTGTAATCTTGTGGGTCATCAACCAATCAAGAACGGCTTTTGAAAGAATTTGATAATTCAGTGGTAAAATGCATACAACTGAATTAAGCAGCATCACAATCACGATTAATATTGAAATGAAGTTACTATCTTTACAGTGAAAGAACAGGAAAAGCTTGTAAGGAATGAAATTCCCAAATAAAATTTGTCCCAAAATAAATAGCAAATATTGTTTAAAATTGATAAGAACAATTTTAGCTCAAAAAGAAAAAGACGATCCCTAATAAACATTTTAACATCGCATCAACATTTACATTTCCTTTGATACCTAATTACGGTATTTTACCTAGGTATTTACCTACCAGAAGGAAAATCAATGCACCAACATATTTAAATTGAAGTTTATCCACAAAAGTAGTATCTTAAATACATTTTATAAGAGTCCGCGATAACTCATTTCAGAACTACCAAATTCATATGCCAAAAGCAAGCAAGTAATGATTTTTATACTTGAATATTAAAATATAATTAACATGAAAATGAATCAGAAAGAAAAAATCGATTATTAGTCCCAAAAATACCAGATGAGAAGAAGATACCTTTCGATTTTCTGCAAATTTGGGAGCTATTTAGAATGAGGAAAATGATTATAGTGGTACACGCGTTGTCCAAAGACAGGTTTTAATTAATTAAAATGTTTAATAGCACGAAACGTTTAGACACTTTTAGTGTTATTATGTTTCATTTTTTCGTATTTTCTTCCTTATTTCAACGTTTTATTGAGGAAAACATCATTTTCAGAACAAAACGTCCTACGTTTGATATTTCTTATGGAAAATGTCCCTACGTTTCATTTTTTTTGCATTTTCATCCATATTTCAACGTTTCAATGCGGAAAACATCATTTTTACCATTTTTAACGTGAAATGACCAATATACCCTTCTATTTAAATAAAACAAAAAAAGAGAGAAGAAAAATAAAGAACAAATTAAAATCTTACTCTTAAACATTTTTTAAAAATGCAAATGAGTCCAAATAAATATAATTTTGCTCTTTAATTTTAAGGCGATTTTTGCCTCTCTAGCCGCTGTTTATGGAGCCAAATTCCGGAAGCTCCGACCACCTAAACCACCAGAAAATGGTACCGGTGGAAAGCCCTTAACCTCCTCTTCAATTCCATTCCAATATCTCCTTGTAACTCCAAGTATTCCGGCCGGTACAAAGCGTCAAAGTTTGCTGCCTGAAAATCTGAAAAACGCCGATTTCTCTCCTACAAGCATTTCAGATCCAAATTCTAGTCAATTGAAGCCAAATTGGGGGAGACCCAAGGGTGGGCTAGGTGCGCCAGGTGAAGGCAAACATAGCCCATGTGGTCTGCAACCTCCGTTTGTCCAGACAGCTCCGAAAACTGACTTCTACTCGGGCGATGTCGTATGTGTCGCAACAGGGAGAAGTTCTGGGTTAAATTCAGCATCTAAACTTGGTGTTTGGTTACAATTGATTGCATGAGTGGAGTCGTCCAGAGGTGGGGGTTGGTCAGTGATGAGCTCCAACCGATATGGTGGCCGGAAGGCGCGAAATCAGCGTTTTTCAGATTTTCAGTCAGCAAATTTTGAAACTTTGTGCCAACCTGAATACTTGGAGTTACAGGGAGATATTGGTATGGAATTGAAGTTGAGATTAAGGGCTTTCCACAGGTACCATTTTCCGGTAGTTTTAGGTGGCCGGAGCTTGCCGAAATTTGCCTCCACAAACGGTGGCTAGAGGGGCAAAAATCACCCCAAAATTAGAGAGCAAAAATATATTTCTTCTATTTTTTTTTTTTTTGTATATTGGTCATTTTATATTAAAAAATGGAGAAAATGATATTTTCCACAATGAAACGTTGAAATAAGGACGAAAATGCAAAAAAAATGAAACATGTGGACATTTTCACAAGAAATGTCAAACGTATGAACGTTTTGTTCTGAAAATGATGTTTTCCGTAATGAAACGTTGAAATAAGGACGAAAATGCGAAAAAATGAAACATAAGGACGTTTTCCACAAGAAGTGTCAAATGTAGGGATGTTTTGTGCTATTGAGCCTAATTAAAAGTAAAAGTAAAGAATTGGGGCAAAGGCAAGCAAGGGTGTCGATTTTCTTTCTTCTTGTTTAGCTTTGTCATTCCACACTAGCTAATAAAACAAATTATACTTGGCCAATTCACTAATATAGAGCCCGTTTGACAATCATTATTGTAAAAAAAAAGTTTTGAATGATGATTTTTAAGAAAATGTGCGATTAAAAGGTAGGAAAAAATTTTGGTATTCATATTACGTGAATGTGCAGTAGAAAACAATCATGTAGTAAACCATAAATAAAATTAAATGGTGTCAAACGGGCACGTAATATGCCTCTGATCAATGCGCAAGGTCAACAACCATGTTATTCAACAGCTTATTTACGATCTTGTTTGGGAGTTTTAGGTATCGGTTATGAGATTTTTAGTAGTGATTTTTGGGTAGTTTTTAATAGCAAAATTTAAAATAAGTCACCAAATTGGGGAGATACTAGGGCATTTGCTGTTAATTTAAATGAATTATAATTTAATTATGTGTTAATTATGTTTGTTACATAAAACTCGATGCAAATTAATGTAATTGGACCAAAGGAGCTAAAAAGGGCAAAAACGAAGGAAATTCAAAATTCAAGGACTAAATTGCAAACTTTCAATAGTTGATTCAGACCTAATATCTATGATTGGAGGACGCTTGGACTCAATGGGATTTAATTGAAAGTTGAAGGATTAAAAATATTTCAGCAAAGGACTCAAGATGAACAAATGATCAAAAGCGAATATAGTGCCTCAGCGCTGCAAAGACACAAAAAGCTATGGACAACAAGTATATTGCTCCAGCGCTATACATAGCACCTCAACGCTACTCAGAACTGGGATTTCCCGGCACTTTCCTATTTTGACACAAATTCTTCTTAAAATATAATTTTGACGGGATTTTCAACATATTTTCGAGCTCTATAAATACAGAACATAATCATACTTTAGAGAGATCTCTCTCTAGCCTTTCAATATACATCCATATCATAAAATTTATCAAGGACAAGAGGTCAATTAACATATTTGGGGAGCGAAGATCAAAACATAGCAAAAATTGAAGAACAATTACATCAATAAATTGAAGATTTCAACATTGGAATTGAAGATCAATATCTTTTGTATTATTTCATGATCTGAGTGATGATTTTTTTCATTCATCTTCTTGTAATTTATATAAAATCATGCTAGGCTAGATCTATTTTTATATAGGATGAGATGAACCCTATTGTTTATCTATTTTATTTCAACACTAGTAATTTATTTAATTTTTGCGGTCCTAAATTAGTTTTCATTCTCATTGCATTATATAATTGCGTAGCTAAAAATTAGTTACTTCTTGTAGTGTTGAAAATTTACAATAAATTTAGAATGCGTCAAAATTAACACACTGGCAATAGATGTAAGGAATAACAATATCGGTATGCAATCTTCTAGATAATCGAGTAATTTAGCACGTTCTAATTATTCGAATTGGAAATCCCTTTTGAGCAAATGAACATTCAAGATCAAAACAAGATCCTAAAGAAGTTGAAGACAAAGACTTAGAAGAACAAATTCCTCAATAAGGAGAATAAGAAACTTTCAAGAATCAAGATGATCCATGTTCCCTCACATCCAAAGGATCTCATCATCGGTGACCCTCCAAAGGTGTAAGTACTAGAAATTCTACCAAAAGCTTTCTAAATAATTGTGCTTTCATTTCTCAAATTGAACATATGAAATTTAAAGAAGTCGAATTTGATGAGTTTTGGATGCTTGCAATGCAAGAAGAATTAAATCAATTTGAAATGAATCATGTTTGGGATTTGGTAGATAGACCAAATAATCAAATCATTATTGGTACAAAATGGGTTTTTCAAAGTAAACAAGATGAAAATGGTATTGTTGTGTGCAACATGGCTAGATTAGTGGCCCAAAATTATAATCAAGAAGAAGGTATAGACTTCGAAGAAACCTTCGCACCGGTTGCTAGATTAGAATCTATTCGCATGTTTCTTACTTTTGCGTGCCATAAATGTTTTACTCTTTATGAAATGGATGTAAAAAGAGCATTCTTAAACGGCTTTATTCAAGAAGAAGTTTATGTTGAATAACCTCCCGGTTTCAAAAATCACAAGTATCCGGAAAATGTGTTTAAACTTAGAAAAACTCCATATGGTTTGAAACAAGCTCCTAGAGCGTGGTATGAAAGATTGAAAAAATGTCTTATCTCAAATAGTTTTCAAACGGGAAATGCGGATTAGTCTTTTTATCAAAATAAAAAGAAAGACATAATTGTTGTACAAATTTACGTCGATGACATTATTTTTGGTACCACTAATATTTCCATTTGTGAAGAATTCTCAAAATGTATGAGCAAAGAATTCGAAATGAATATGATGGAAGAACTAAAGTTCTTCCTCAGACTTCAAATCAAACAAACTAATGAAGGCATCTTCATTAGTCAAACAAAGTAAATCATAGATATGCTCAAGAAATTTGATTTTGAAGACTTAAAGCCGATGAATACTCCAATGAGTTCACCAATCAAATTGGATAAAGATGAGCACGGTACTTCAGTCGATGTAAGAAAATATCGAGGTATGATCGGATCTCTTCTTTATTTAACCGCTAGTAGACCCGATATCATGTTTAGTGTTTGCTTATGTGCTATATTTCAATCCAATCCTAAAGAATCACATTTAAGTACCTTAAAACGAATTTTTAGATATTTATGTGGCACTAGAACTTTAGGATTATGGTATCCTAATGGCACACACATTGACCTTATTAGCTATTCAAATGCCGATTGGACGGGTTGCACAATTGATCGAAAAAGCACAAGTGGAACTTGTCACTTTCTAGACATTGCCCTTGTATCATAGTTTAGCAAGAAACAAAATTTCGTTGCACTATCAACCATCGAATGTATCTCAACCGCTAGTTGCTGTGCTCAAGCTCTTTGGATGAAACAAACTCTTAGTGATTATCATTTAACTTTTGAAAATACTCATATTATGTGTGATAACATTAGTGCTATAAATTTGTCTAAAATCCCATCTCGCACTCTCGCACCAAACATATTGAAATTCGACATCATTTTCTTAGAAATTATGTGCAAAAAGGTGATATTTATTTAGAATTTGTTAGTACAGATAAATAATTGACCGACATTCTTACCAAACCTCTTGTTCTCGATAGATTCTTTTATATTCGTAGAGGCTTAGGTATACTATTGATGAATCTGAAATTTATAGCTAAATTTGTTTAAAATGTATGATTAAAACAGAATTACATGTGAAATTCTTGATTTTTTTCGGTCAACCGAATCCAATAAGCCGAAATGTATGCATCATCCCCAAAAATTTTCTGCAGAACTTCGATCGACCAAATGATCGATCGAAACTGAAGTTCAGTAGACCATATGATCGACCGAAACATAAATTTCGGTTGACCAATGATCAACCGAAAATAAATGCAGCTGGCTTTAAATTTTCTGCAGACTTTCAATCGACTGAAAGTCTATCCGGTCGACTGAAAACCTCGGGAATCAGCTTCTTTAAAAATCAAATTTCATCCCCAAATCATCATTTTAAAACCTCAACTCGTGATTTCCTCTCTTCAAATCACTCACATTTCCCTCATTTCATCAAAATCACTCAAACATTTCAACAAAACTACCACATTCATCAAACTTTCCAATCAAATCTCAAACTCTTACACCATTTTTATCAAGAAATTTCCAACATGTTTTTAGCTTCAACACTCAAAAATCTTGATTTTCCCTAAAAAACTCATTGAAAATCTTGTTAAAACATTAACTCTCTTCAAAGATTTGTTACCCATACATTTCGTATAATTTTTTCACTCAATTCCTCACCAAAATTTCGAAAAACCAAAAATCTCTCACACTCTTGGTCGAAAAATCCAAATC